AGTAAATGTGGAAATAAGACTAAAATGTAATGTGTAAAAGATGAGCATAAAGAAATAATGTGGGTAAATAATATCATGTGTAAACAAAAACAAAGGATATGAATATCTACTAAAGGCTAAGACCTGCTGGCAGGGTGGGATATAGCAGGATGGACACGCATGCGCTCTCCCCCACGCTGCGAGTTCAGTTAAGGACACTATGGCCTGGAAATGACCCAGTAAAGATGACATCCGGAAAATCATAAGAAGCCCACCACTGGGGGGTGCAAGCAGGAACCCCGCAGAGTCTTAAATTACGCTGTGCTAAGCAGGAAATAAAGCTGACTACGGGCTCTCTGATAGGTATCAAAGAAATCAGGTTGGGGTTTTTCCATAGTAGGAGGGCAGTTGGACGAGGTTCACAAGTATAATGCATTGTTAGCCTGTATAATCTCGAGATTTTGTTCATGTTTGTCCGTGCAGCCTCTGTTTCGAATAAACATTATTCACATCAGACTCTGACGACTGTTTTTTTTTCTTCTCGTAGGACTTTTTTGGGATCTGAAGTACCTAGCTAAGGATCGTTATTTCGGTTATATGTTCTGACAACGCTGCCTGATCATCGCTGGCACAAACCAGGCAAGCCGAGTCACAACATATCATGCATCCTCTGGCCACTCAGTCTAAAACTACTGATTTGATTATTTACTATTTCCTGAGTCTTAAAAATTTGTATATATATAAAAAAAAAATCATCCAACACATACTTAGTTTTAACCTCAAGCAAATATTCAACAAACCCTCGACCTACTTGCTTAAGCCCTGGTGCTCTCATAAGTGATAACTTTAAAAGGTAATTCAAAAATAAGTTGTGCCCTTGATTTGATTTACAACTTCTGAGGCTAACACTCATTTCATCTGTCCATTCGGCATTTTTATATCATCTTCAAAATGGACTTACAACTTGGTTACTTATTCACCCACCATGTTTTTGTATTCAATTCTATTCAAAGGTGCTTCATTGGGAAGAAAGTTTTAAGAAACAATGTTGCCAAAGCATCACAATACAATTAGTCCAAATATTTAGACAGTACACAACTACAGTGACATACAGCATGAAGCTTGATACATTTTAAATATATGTATGTACAGTGTATCATATGTATGTGTCTCACACACACATGAATGTGCTGTGTGTGTCCAGGTCCATTGTCCCTCAGGTTGTGGCATATTGTTCTGACTGTTTTACTTTTCTTCTCTGTTTGAACTTGTGCTGTTTTTTCCAGATATTTTTTCACTGACTAAATGAAGGTACAGTTCAGAGACTCACAGGTTTTAAGTACTTAAGCTTTTGCGGTTGACGATATTTTTCATCTGATATTTTCTTAAGTCTTTTATGATGGTCTAACAAACTAAAGACCCAAGTCCTCCTAATTCTGTGTGTGTACCTGTACAGGTGTAAAAACAAGAAATCCATGCCTGCCTGTTGGACAGTTGTACCAGAGTTTGCTTAAAGTCCTACTAAAAAACTGTTTACATTGTTTGCTTTGCTGTTATTGGTAGGGTAACACCTTCTAATGGTTCTATTATTCTGCACAGTGTAAGTTAGATGTATTCTCACCTGTATTGCATGATCTCTCTCCGTTCTAACAGAATGCAATAAGGCAGTCAAACCCTGCAGTTCTTGTTCTTTCTCCTTCAGCTCTGCTTTAGCCTGACAGAGATTAAAAACAGATTAAGTCTTTACTGACAACAATATCAACTCTCTTAAACAGGGATAGAAACAAAGGTCTAAGAACACTGACAAAGATTAACACACTCATTGCCCAAACAAGTGGCAGCATGCACTATAAAAAAAACATTGCAATATTTTTTACAAGCAAACATTTGATCCTTCTAAATATGGTGGCACACTTGCACACAACCACACGGAAAAAAATGTGAGGTTTTTTTTTGTTGTTGAACTCTTATTAAACAGAAATAAACTCATGTAGGTGTCACATTATTGTCCACGAGTCTTTTCATCTGCTTGTGGGCTTGTTTTGTATATTTCCCTTTTCATAACCCTCCACAACATTTCAGTTGGATTACTATCTTGGCATTGAACAGGTCATTCAAGGACTGGACTAAGACACACACACACACACACACACACACACACACACACTACCTCCATTGTGTTGTTATTGTCCGTGTTGTGTTGCATTGTTTTGTTTGGGGTGTTCAAATTGTACATGTTTGCACAACCTGTTTTTTATATTGCACGACTGTCCACATTTCTATTTCTACTTTTATTTTCTTCTATTTTTTGTCTTATTTTATCTTATCTTTTTGCACTGCATTCTTTGCACTAGCACTTTAGCTCTGGATCTGGGAAACGCTGTCTCATTTCACTGTGTACTGTACAGCTGTATGTGGTTGAAATGACAATAAAGCCCTTTGAATTGAATTGAATTGAATTTCCTTGCAAGCCTCTATTTGTTTTCTTGTATAATCTTTTTCTGATTTAAGATGCAGGCACTTTGATAGCAATATTTGCAAGAGTTGCTCGCAGATCCCTAGGGGAAATTCTGGGGTTCTTGGGGACTTCTTTTAGTATCAGACGATCTAATCTTAGGCTGAATTTGTGAGTCCTGAATCATATTAATAGTAGTAATGTAAAATCTGTGCCACTGATTTTCCTGAAAGTGCAATAATTTCAAGGACACTTAGTCAAGTTTTCTCCCAAGTAAACCCAACAACCTGCCTTTTAGACCCAATTCCCACACCCCTTTTAAAATCTTTTTATGGATTTTTTGAGGAACAGATTTTAAACATCATGAATTGCTCTCTTCAGACGGGCGTCTTCCCCACCGCCTTTAAAACGGCGGTGGTGAAGCCCCTTCTGAAGAAGAGCAATTTGGATCCCACTGTTTTTAATAACTACCGACCCATATCCAACTTACCTTTATTAAGTAAAATTTTAGAAAAACTGTTTTTTAACCAAGTCAATGACTTTTTAATCAGAAAAAAACATTTTAGAAAGACATCAGTCTGGTTTTAGGATGAACCACAGTACCGAGACAGCACTTTTAAAGATTTTAAACGACATCAGGTGGAATTTTGATAACAAAAACTTAACAGTGTTGGTTCTACTGGATCTAAGCGCTGCTTTTGATACAATAGACCATCACATTTTATTAAATACACTTAAGCACCTGGTCGGCCTCTCTGGTACTGTTTTTAACTGGTTCAGCTCACAGACCGATGTATTTATGTAAATATGGATACATGTTCCTCAGGGACCCATAAAATCAGGTGTGGGGTTCCCCAAGGTTCAATTTTAGGCCCCATTCTTCTTTTTAATCTTTACATGCTTCCTCTTGGGGACGTCATCAGGAGACATGGCATCAGTTTCCATGGCTACGCTGATGACACACAGCTGTACGTTGCCGTGTCTCCTGATGACACAGGGCCAATAGATACCCTTTTTAAATGCATTTTAGATATCAAGTCATGGATGGCAGCGAATTTCCTACAGCTTTCTAATCAGGTTTTTAATTTAACTTTTAATTCTTTTTACATTCTTGTCATTTATTTATCTTTGTCTTATGTATTTTACTCTTTTAACTTTCCCTTTATCTTACATAGGGCTTTTTATTCTTAAAGTTTTTCGTTTTATTTCCAGTGTTTCCTTAGGGGTGTCCTCCACACTGGGGGCTGTGTGTGGTCTGCTGCTGGGGGTTCTGTCTGCGGGTCCCTTTGGCCCGGCTGATTGGGGGGCTCCCCACCTCGTTGTGGGGATCCCCCTGTCTGCCGGGTCGGGGGTCCGGGTGCCGGCGCCCCCAGTGTTCATGGTCTGCAACTCCTCCCGGTGTGGACGACCCCAATGGTAGCGTTTCCCACAATCCCTCAGTGCCATGCCACGCCTCTTTTAGTCTAGTGGTGAGGGTGTGTACGTGTGTGTACGTGTGTGCGCAATTGCATTTGCTGTATGTGTATGCATGGAGGGTGGGAGGGACGGGTTTATTTTATTTTTTAAATGTTGTAATGTTTTTAAATTATGTCATGTTTTTAAATGCTTTGTTGTTTTACATGAAAAGTGCTATATAAACAAAATTTGATTGACTGATTGATTGATTGATAATTTCTGACAATCAATCGATCAATCAATCAATAAAATGCAGTTCTTTTTGGATTTCCAACTCTTTTTTGTAAATTTTTTTTTTTTTTTTAATTTGAGAGTGCAACATACTTTAAAGCATCCTGGTAACAATGGCACTGCAAATAGTGACACTATAAATAACACCATGGTGTGCAGTAACAAGTACACTGGTCTGGGAAATGTTTTGCACACATTTGAAATTGGAACAGCCTTAGAGTGCAACAGCAACACGTAAGTAGATAATAGTTTAAGTTTAGCAATATACAAACATCTCTATCAATGTACAGTAACTTACTCTATGAAGATATATTTCATGATATTACAACAGAATGTCAGATTCAAATAAACTAAACAATCAGTATGGCTGCACTCTTTACATTCATTGAGAATTGTAACTTTTTTCATTTAATTTGGGAAATCCAGCTGTGTTGGTGTAGTAGTATTTACAAGATGTGCCACCACTGTTGTAAATCGTGTGTTACATTTAACTTCTGTTGTTTACATCGTATTTAATAGGGAGAGCAAAGTCAGTATAAAAAAAAAAACGTCTGAGTAAGTCTGAGCAGCTGTGGTTCTCAAACCTTTTGTGCATCACTGCAGAAGTGAAAATTAGAGGCAATCTGTATTTGCATTCGCTGTGGCTGAAGTCTACACCAAATTTCCTGTGTGGGTTTGTGTCATGTATGAGAGACTAACCTGGTCTCTAGCGTCAGTCAGGTCTTGTATTAAATGCTCATTGGAAAGGTAGTGTTCAGCCTTGATGTCCTCATAGCGTCTCTGACAATCAAGCTCCACTTGGACTCTAGTCTGTTCCAAGGCCCTCTCTCTCTTCAAACCAGCACTCAGTTCCTGCTTGTACCTTAAAACAAACACATAGAAATTTAACAGATCATAAGAACAACTCAGACCAGGTCATAATCTTCATTTTGTCAAAGCTATGTAATTGTGCTGTGCCTAATTTATCTATTCCTTTCAATTTCTTTCTTTACATTTCTCCCTGCTTGCCTCCATTTTCCTTTTGGCTTCTCACCTCTCAATTTGTTCCCTGTTTTTCTCCAGCTCAGCTCTGAGTTTTGTTTCTCTCTCCTGCATGGTGATAATTTCTGTCTCTTTTACAACCATCTCAGTGGAGACCTGTTTGATGTAGTGGTCCCAGTCAGTCCGGGTGGCTTCTACCTCCATGTGAAGCCTTTAAAAAAAAACACACACACACACACACACACACACACACACACCAATGGCAGCACAACTGTCATGCCAAGAGCTACTTGGTGTCCTTTCCAAGTACGCTTTGACATGTGTGTCATGATTTTCATTTTCATCCTTGTTTCACCTGTGTCTATCTCACCTCTGGATTGTTTCATCTTTCTGTTCCATGGCCTTCTGCTGATCTTCCTGTACGCATCGTGCCTGTGCTGCCAGAACGTCTATATTTTTCTGTAGCTTGATGATCTGTTTCTCAGTCTTCCGCAGCTGCTTTAGGTTGGCCTGATGCTGAAGCTCCAGCTGAGCATTACGTTTTTCCAGGGACAAGACCATATCCTCATATCTTGAAAGAAACAGCCATATGGTTAAAGATTATGAGAAATTTTGAGGTACTAGAAAGGCCTTTCATACACAGACAATTTGGCTTTTATGTACAGGACAACATGATAACGTCTTACATCATTCATTACCAACCCTTTCTTCATTGTCCAGTGCACCAAAGATGGCTTTGTGCATGTTGAATGGTGGGAGAGATTGGGCCTTATATATGAGTTGAGAATAACAGTGGTCCAGATTCTGCTTATTGATTATATGTGGAATATGCTGACTGAAGTCCAACAAAAGTTTTGTAAGGTTGTTTTTGCAAAAATCTCCAGTCCTGAAAGCAGCGTCCAGGTACATGGCCCAGTGGTCCTCTTTTATTTATTTATTCTTACAATTTCCTGGAGTATAATAACATACAGAATGATGAATGGAACAATAAACTGTTCTTACCAGTAGTACAGCTGCAGGGTTATTTATTAAATTATTTTTGTTGTTAACTGTATTTGTGTTAATTGTAATTGTTCATATTATGCTTGTTTATTGATGTTTTCATTTTATTATCTTTATTGTTTAAATAAAATCCCAATATATGGAAACAGCTGCACTCTGTTTACTATGCATGCTGCTCATGGCTAGAGGTGTTTATCTATAGAAAATAACTTTCTGACACTGTTTAGGATAATGACACTATTGGTGGCAATCAGTCTCATGTTTCACTATTATTACCAAATCTGAAAATTTGTTTCATTTTCTCTCTCGTCATACTCATAAAGTATCTGCCAGCGCCAGCAACTGGTTCTGAGTACATGAGTGAGAGGAGCTTGTATTTATTGACTTACTTCTTACTGTGTTCATCTTTCTCCTTCTTCATGTTGGTCTCCATCCTTTTCAGCTTTTCCTCAAGCTCCTTTATCCTGAGACAGAGGGTAATTTCTACTTGTTATAACACTTTTGCATAAGCTCCGCACACATATGAAAACACGTAAACACACTTACACGTTACAGGAACATACCGCTTGTCCTTTATAGCAACGGTGTCTTTGAACTCCTGGTCTTTGTGTTGTAGTTGGGTCTTTATCTGCTGACAGAGGTTCTTGGATGTCTCGAGAGCCTCTGTGGCCTGCAGGTGAGCCTGGTAGTGAACTTCAGTCTCTTTAGACAGCAGCTTAACCTGGACAAGGACACACACATGCAGCAGTACATGATGATGACAAGAAAATCATACAATTTGCTATCTTATCTAAATTATTTAGATTTGGAATGCTACCATGAAATATAATTATAGTACAGTATGCTGCAAACATCACAAATCTGGTATTTGTGGACAGCATGAATAGACTTATTACTAAAGTGAAACACACTCTCCTCACCTTGATCTCATGAGACAACACCACAGCGCGCATCTCATCCATTTTCACGTTGAACTCATGTTCCTGCTGTTTCAGCTCACTGTCAAAAGTAGCAGTCATCTCCTGTTTTATCAAGGAAAATAATTAGATGTGAATTACTACAACTATTGCAATCTATTGCTGGATATTGTAGTTTCTGTAACCAAGCGCAACATCAGTAAGCACATTTCAGCCACTGCTAACCTCCACTTTGTATTTTACTGTGCCAATGCACTGAAGCACACACAGATGTGATGTTAAGATGTCAATACAGCTGTTTGTGTACTTTTTAACAAAGTAAGGAGAGAATGATAATGAATCTCACTCATCTTTCCTGATGTTGGGACACAGACATGCACATTCTTGGACATGTACTTTAGCCATGATAACAAAGCCAATGTACCAGACAACAGAAAGTGAGTCTTGTGTCTGTGGTCACCCTGAAGGTCTGACAGCTCTACTAGTTATACCAGTCATGCAACTGGATAGTTCCCTACTGTACTGAGCCAACTGTGAGGGGTTGTCACATGCACCATAATACTTTTCAGTGTTGGTTCAATGGCCCAGTGTGTTTTGTATGTATATATTCTTTATGGATTGTCTACCTACAGAAGGATGTATGTGCATGTTTACCTGTCTCTGTCGGACCAGTTGTTCTTCCACATCTCTTATTCTGCGCTGTGAATCCAATTTCATCTGGTCAAACTCCTTAATTTGGTTTTGAATTTCAGCATTCATAGAGCTGCACACATACAGGAAATAGGGAACATTTACTTTAACCTAACCCACCCTCAGTAATTTCCGATTTTCAGACAGATCTCAATGACAGATTGGAGATTGAATACTTCATTGCTGCACTGTATTTCAGGGTTTACCAACCTTCCAAAGTCAAAGCAACAACAAAGCAATCTAGTCTTTCTCTGAGCTGGTAAAAGCCTCTAAAAAAGGAAATCTGTCTGGTGACTTAAACAGAATAAATGACTCTTGTCCTGTTCATGCCTGAGTTTCAGTCAGCTCAAACTGCCACAAACAGTTTACTGTGTAATGTTCATCAGGCAGTGTGTCTGCTGCTCTGCTGACCCAGCAACCCTTTTACAAATGTTCTTACCTTTCTTGAAGATCAGAAGGTTTTGATAATTTTCCAGTTCCATAACTATTTAGGGAAGTTAAATATTCAAATTGATGTCTGCGCTTTATTAGCAATTTTCAGTATTTCACTCCTCTGTAGGTGTATTTGGCTTTACTGTTGATCTGGATAATCATCCTGGAAATGTTCTACCCTACCTCTGCACTCTACAAGGTTTACTGATCATCAATGAGCACAGTATCTCAACTAGTTTAACATTTGTATTGCCTAATATCTGATAAGGTCAATTTTTTAATGTTTTTTTTTTTCTATTTGTGGTTTAATTAGTGGTTAATTACTTTTTTTTTTACTTAGTTAAGTGAATGTTTTTTTTTAATATGTTCTGTCTTCATATGCGTGTCATATATTACTACTATAATACTGGCACAACCATGTCACCACTGCATAACGTCACAGACAGTGTTACAGTTTTTAAATCTGCATGTACTGATCGTGTCTATAATCTTTTCCCCCTATTTTCTATTCTCACTTTTTTTAAACTTGACTCACCGTTTGAGCTTGTCCAGCTGTAGTCTGTGCTGGAAAGAATTGTGGCGATTTTTGCTGAGCTCCTCCTGTCTTTCCTGAGCCTCTCTGGCTCTCTGCTCCTCCAGATTGGCAATCTGCTTTTGGTGCTGGTTCAGCTCTGCTTTTCTGATAACAACAGCAGCATATTAGAATTAGTGGGTTGCTGTTCCTCTTCAGTTACCGTTAATTAACTAACAGAATTTATTCGCAAGTTAGGGAAGGACTTTATTCTAGTAGAAGTTAACTAAAAAATAAACCAAACATACTCAATAAATTCAACAAAGCAAAGGAAATACAAAATTAAATGATTCTGTCTGACAAAAAGATTACTTGATTTATCAATCTGACAATGAAAACTCAGTTATTGTTTGACAATTTGGTATAAATGGAGCTGAGCAAATTGCACAGTTAAAACTGACTTCCCTCACTTTATTTTACTACTTAATCAGTAATGTGTGTGCATGCGTTTGTGTCTTTGTGGTTGTGAGTGTGAAGGCATACATGTACTGTGTGTGTCTAGGTCATTTACTGTCCTTCATGTTGATAGTGGTGTTACGTGCCAGAGGGCTTGTTGTGTGTGAGTGTGTATGTTCTGCCTCTCCTTCCCCCTCCTTTCTGTCTCATTGTCAGGTGCTACTGATCTAATTGGTATCCACCTGGAAAGCTGATTTCCACCTGTTGAGTTTGCTAAACAGATGCGGTGTGTTGCAGCTTAAAACCCGACCCATTGTCAGATCAGGAGAGCTGCCATCGTGACAACATGTTGCTTTGTATGTGAGACTTGTGTTTGTTTGCTGTAAACGTGGATGTACGTTTCTGTGGTGTTGAGGTTGGGATGCTCGGTAAGTTGGGTACCCCACATTATGCAGCATGCAGGAATTTTTTGTTAGACACACTAGAGTTATTCAACCCAGTCTCACGGCAATTTGTGAAATAGTCGTGACATTTAATCTATTGTTTCGTGTCCTGGGACACGATTTGCCCAACTTTGTCGTGTTCCCCCAGCATGAATTTCAAACCAATATATTTCAATTGGAATTATCTTTCATGTCTGGGACACGTTTTTCCCTATTAGACAGCGCATATACTGTAACGTTTTGTTGTTCTTTTCTTCCAACAGTCAGCATTAACCAATTTTACTGTTATGGCCCATCCACACTAATAACTATAGAGATCACTATACAGATGTGTGCGCCCACACTGACCAACATTAACATTTTGTAAACATTGGCGCTGCGTATAAACTCCATATTCATTCAAATAGAAAAGACAAGAAATATATCCAGGCACAGAGAAAATTTTCTGAGATCGCTCTGAAAGTGATCCCAACGATATCGTTCATTGCTATTATCATTCATTTGTGATAAAATATAAGTGCTTTTACTGTGTTTGGGCTACATGCTCGTCATCACTTTCATTTCTCTGTAAATGAATACAACTCTGAAAAGAAGGACACATGAAGGAAAACGGCGACTGGAAGATGTATTGTGATGGCAGCGATGGATAATCTGACTATGGTAACTGAAACGGCAGCGGTGAGGAATGTATCTGTAGCTTTGTGAAGCTTTTAACTAGCTCGTTGAGCTTGCTGGCTACATTAGCTACTAGTCTAGCCTAGCTGCTGCTGTGGCTGCTGCTTCTTCTTCTATTGATTTGGCGGTTGGCATCCAACATTGATGTGCATTACTGCCACCTACTGTATACACAAAAACAGTACAGACCCTGTAGGATGGATCTCTTCCGGGTCTACGACGAGGCTGTGCGGCGACTCTAGCAGGGTTGCCTTAGCAACGAGCGCAAATTTCCCCCAAACACTGCCAGTGTAATAAAAACACAAAAAATACCACAATACGACGTAATCTGTTACCCTTATTTCATACTACACGTATTATATTTTAACAGTAGCACATTTGTCAGTACTTCAATCCGTTTATTTTAGTTTATTAATACAAAAACACAACCCTAGTTGTAAACCCCAAGAAGAACTATATATTTCATGGCGTGTCCAATCACGTTATATTGTATGGCTACTGGAAGTTGTAGTTCTTTCTTCAAAATAGCTGTGTCTCCTAAATGGAGGGTAAAACTTGAAGTGCATTTAGGAGTTTACATTGATGATGAACATGTTTACCCAGGTGCTCAAAACACTGGGTATTAAACATGAGACGTCTAGCCCTTATCCTCCTAAAAGCCAGGTCACTGGAAAGGTTTCACCATACCAGGAAATCCATGTTGCACAAACACTGCTTTGAATCACAAAGGGATTGGAATGAAAGCATTCCCTTCTGTTTGCCACCAGTGAGGCTGTCCAGGAATCATTGGGTTTTCGTCCTGCAGAGCTTGTGTTCGGACATGAGGTACGGGGTCCATTGAAAGTTCTCAAAGAACAACTTGTTGAGCCTGACAAAAAGGTGAAAAGTATTCCAGAGTATGTTGCAAAACTCAAGGATCATCTCCAACTAGCTTGTTCCTTGGCTCGAGATGCCCTGACCTCTTCACAGGTGAAAATGAAGCATCGCTATGACCAGAAAACAGTCACCCACTTGTTCCAGCCAGGTGACAAAGTTCTGATTCTCTTGCCTACACCCAGTTCAGCACTCTGCACTAAATTTTCTAGTCCTTATGTTGTAGAGAAGACACTCCATGACGTAAACTACGTAATTAAGACCCTGGACCACACAGGGTGTGTCATGTCAACATGATGAAGTCATACCGTTCCAGAGAGGATGAAACTGGGTTACCCACAGCCCATGAGGTGAAGATAGATTCCTCTCCTATGGCTTCCATCTCAGTGGTGAGCATTCCCGATGAAGAGTTGGTGATGCATAGTGCTGCACCACAAGGAGTAAGGTTGAGTAACTCAGAAGTGTTATCTCTTCCCCAGTCCTTGTCTCATCTTTCTGATGACTAGTGCGAGGACATTGTAAAACTTGTAAATGACTTCCCCAGGCTATTAAAAGACATTCCATCTCAGACCTCTGTTATTACTCATGATATTGTTTTGACTAAATCTAGACCAATTAAGCAGCGTGCTTATCAAGCCAGTCCAGCAAAGAGGGAAATCATGAAGAAGGACGCTGACTATCTCTTGAAAAATGGGTTTGCTGTGCAAAGTGCTTGTCCATGAAGTTCACCTTGTCTCCTGGACACAAAGTCTGACGGAAGTCCAAGGTTCTGCACTGACTACTACAAGGTAAACTCTGTAACTGTCCCAGATGCATATCCATTGCCCTCGATGGATGACTGCATTGATGAGATTGGTCCAGCAAAGTATGTTAGTAAGCTAGATATGCTAAAAGGGCAAGTTCCGTAAAGTCAACGTGTTTCTGATGTTTCAGCATTTGTAACACCTCACAGCTTCCTCCAATACACGGTCATGCCCTTTGGTATGTGCAATGCTCCTGCTACATTTCAGAGGTTAGTAGAAAAAGCACTGGGAGATGTTCCAAAATGCAGAGCACATTTAGATGACATTGTGGTACATTGTGATGACTGGGCTAATCACGTAGCTACATAGAGAGAAGTCTTTAAACGCTTGGCTAATGGACCTCTGACCCTCAACCTTGCCAAGTGTGACTTAAGGTACCATTACATATCTTGGTCAGCAAGTTGGTTGAGGGAAGGTGTGTCCTGAAGATGCCAAGGTTGCTGTTGTTGCTGATTTTCCTCCACCTGTCACTAGGAGAGATCTACGGCAGTTCCTTGGGATGGCTGGTTATTATCGTCTGTTCTGCAAGAACTTTTCCTCTGTTGCAGCACCGCTGACTGCCTTAACCAGTCCTTCCACACCATTTGTTTGGTCTAGTGAGTGCCAGCAAGCTTTTGAGAGTCTAAAACATGTCTTGTGTTGTGCTCCTGATTTCTCCCTGCCTTTTAAATTGGAGGTAGATGCTAGTGGAGTTGGATCTGGAGGTGTTCTCCTCCAGGAAGATGACCAAGGAATTGATCATCCTGTGGGTTACTTTTCACGCAAGTTTAACAAACATCAGCTGAACTATTCTATGATTGAAAAGGAAGCGCTTGCCCTGTTACTTGCCCTGCAACTTCGAGGTGTACCTGGATACAAGTGCTAGTCCGATTACAGTTTACACTGATCATAATCCACTTGTATTCCTTTCAAGGATGTACAATCATAATAGACGCCTCATGTGTTGGTCACCTGTCATTAAAAATTACAATCTTGACATATGCCACAAGAAGGGTTCTGATAACATCCTTGCAGATGCTCTGTCACATGCTCTCTAGGTAATGTTGTTGTTGTTCCAAACATGGTTTGGACTTGTAAGGGTGGGGGTGTTACGTACCAGAGGGCTGGCTGTGTGTGAGTGTGTATGTTCTGCCTCTCCTTCCCCCTCCTTTCTGTCTCATTACCAGATGCTAATGACCTGATTGACATCCACCTGGAAAGCTGACTTCCACCTGTTGAACTGGCCAATGAGATGTGGTGTGCAACTTAAAACCAGGCCCATTGTCAGATCAGGAGTGCTGCCATTGTGACAGCATGTTGCTTTGTCTGTGAGACTTGTGTGTTGTTTGCTATAAAAGTGGATGTATGTGTCTGTGGTGGTGAGGTTGGGACGTTAGGGGCAGCACGTAGGGAAGTTTTGTTAGACACACGAGGGTTATTGGTTGGTGCCACCTGTGTATTTATTTCAAAGCTCGGTTTGTAGAGAAATTAGGTAGGTCTTTCGATTGGGTTTGTTTTGTTATATAAGAGGAGTTAGTCAGGCCTTGTTTTGTTCTTATTTTCAATTGTTTGGCACCACCACTTTGTCCCAATCCTCCCACCTCTTTTGTGAACCTTTGTTGCACATTGTTGTTGAAGCATTGTTAAAAATAAACATCTAATTTTATTTACACCTCACAATGACTCCTACATATCTTTTGGTTGTTGCGTTGCTCTCCTCATGTTAAGAGAGGACGTAACAGTGGGGAAGCAAGATGTCCTTCTCCTAGGAGTATTTTTAAGTTTGAGACTTTATCGAGGTCTGTCTGAAAATCTGAAATGATTAAGCGATGGTGGGTTAGGCCAAAGTAAACGTTTGTTATTTCATTAAATTGTCTAGGTGCTGCGTACCCCTTCAACAGCCAAACCAGAAGTCTAGGGTTTGCTGTCTTACATGAGGGTATGAAAGTGAAAATCAAAATCACCTGGGTAATTAGCCAACCAACTCATCTTTTTTTTTTTTCCTTTACATTTAGTACTTTCTAAGTGTGGATGAAGCAGAATGTAAATGATTAGTGTCTAACTAAATTGTTAGAAAGGTGCATTAAAATGTACCAGCTTTTAAAATAGTAAACATGCAAACGTGCTCAACAGTGGGCGGCTGCGGCTTCGTGGGCGGTCAATGATCGGAAGGTTGGCGGTTCAATTCCGCTGTAACCTGTGTCATGGTTGTTGTGTCCTTGGGCAAGACACTTCACCCAGCTTGCCTGGTGTGAATGCGTATGAATAGATTGTTTGAGGTGGTGGTCAGAGAGGCCGTAGGCGCAGAATGGTAGCCACGCCTCTGTCAGTCTGCCCCAGGGCAGCTGTGGCTACAATCGTAGCTTACCACCACTGGAATGAACGTGTGTGAGTGAATAATTGATAGTGTGTATGCGCTTTGAGTTACTCCCTGAGTAAGAAAAGTGCCATATAAATCTAATCAATTATTATTATTAAATGTTGAATTTTATAAAAATGTGGTTGCTGAATGCAGCTTGGTTTTAGGAGGTAGAGTGACTCATCTTTTAATCGTCTTCACAGAACAAGGAACATTCTGTGTATTTTTTGATGGACTTAATACATTTTAAAATTAATTTTCTCCCTTTATATGATATTTTACAAACAACTATTTTATTTATTCTCAATTGAATCTAATCTAAACAACATGGATGGATTTTACCTGTTGTGATTCACAGTCAGAGCTCTGGCAGTTATGACGTCATATCTCTCCAGCTCTCTGTCCCGTTCATCCAGGACGGCCAGATTGAAGTAGAAATCCTCCCTCAGTTGTTTGTGGTGTTCTCTGACAAATGATGCAGTAAGAATAACTGGTTATTACTGTGCTCAAAAAATAAAGAATAACCTGGACATCTTCAGCAAACTTTTTTTTTAATTCATCTGACAGCAGTACTGACCAGCTGGCTCCATCTTTACATAGATCTTCAACAGATGACTGGAGCTGTGTGAAGTCTCCTGTGCTTTAATTGCTCCTCAGTAATCCTGGTTCTTACTCTCTTACATAAGTGAATGTCTGTTGCCCTGAGTGACTGAGTGCCCATGTAAAGGACATCACAGCTTACTGGATCTCCTGCAGTTATGCTGGCATTTTTGTATTCTAAATCTCTCTTACTTTTTCCTGTATGTTATATTCATAGTGTTTAAAGTCAGGTTCTCCAAACTGTCGTAAGTCTACAAACTTATTGCTCTAGATGATACCTCTGAGTAAACTGAAAAGCTGTGCTTCACATGCAAGTGCAACAAAAATGGTTGTCCGAAAAATTCTTTGTATGAATGTTTCTTACACGAGGCTCGTTGTTCTTACACCTGTGTGTAGGCACACAAAGAGCCACGAGAAAATAGAGTCAGATTCCTTGAATGTGGACCAACCTATAAAAGGACTGTTTGACAGGTTTGCCACATATTTACTTAGGACATATTTTGGAATGGTAGCATTAAAGTCAGGTAGACTGCAAGATATCTGAGAGCTCTGTCTTCAATTCAACACAATAGAGGCGACTGGAGTTTAGTTTTTAGTGCTCATGGTATTGAAAAATGACATTGAAACATTTCAACTGCCGTGTGTTTTTCAAGATACGATCCTGTGGTTACTCTTATTAATCCACAGACCTCTATTGTTTTGGGATGGGGGCAGATATCTCTGACACATTTCAAAACCTATACAAATAAAACCAAAGCTATCTGTGTGGATAGATTGCGTCACAGTGTAGTGAGGAAATGTATTCTTTTGTAACATGCTTCAAGTCTACAAGAGTTCAAATGTTCAGACTAGTAAAACTGAAAACTTGAAATACATATAAGCTTAATGTACCATCATAAAAATATGCACAAATTAATAAAGCACATACAATAATTGTTACATGACAAAAACAAGCAATTTCAAAAGATAGCAAATAGCCTTTTATTGATTCCAAAAAGAGAATTGATGAGGAGTCTGACTAAATAGTAAAGGGATGGCTGGAGACACAAAGCAAACTAGGGCCAACTTTATTGATTGATTGGCAGACAATGTGGTGACTGTAATTTCAGAATTAAGTATTTATTAAGCAAACTTTTTTTTTTTTTTGCAGAACCCTAAACTGAATAAATGTCTGGTTTTGAAGGCTTGCAGGTTACAAACATAGTTTGGACATGTCATTTTTTCTGATGAACATTTTTCAGCAATGACGAGTATTCAGTTAACTGAAAAAAAATATCCAAAAATTAAATGAAAATGATCATGTTGCAACCTTATGACACCAAATATCTACATGTATTTCCTTGTTTGTGACGCAAGTCTTGTGAAATTGTAAAACCTCTATTCACTGAGAAGTCCCACACTGAACTTTCCAGGCAGGTCACGTTTCGTTATTTTGAAGTGAGGTGGCTGTAGGTGTGGTACCTCAGGGAGGAACACTCCTTCTGGGCCTTTTTGAGGGAAGACTCCAGTTGATGGACTCTCACTGCCTGGAGCTCCTTTAACTCCTTCTCTTTAATGGCCAGCTGGGCTTCTAGGTCTATCAGTCCACTGTCACGGCCTGACTGCATGGTGTAACTAGGACACAGAAGCCACAATATACATCGATCAACATGCATTGCAATGCATAACATTTCTGCCACTAGTTAATATATTCCCTGTAGCAATGCCAACATTGTTTATGTGGGACACAATGTGGGACGCTTGTGATAGCATGAGAAGCAAACCCTTGGTCAAATACAGTCACCACTTTTGAAGTTCATGGCATGCTTGTATATTCTGCAGTGCTTCCACTGCCAACCTTCCTGAAAACACGCTGTCCCTAATGAGGCTATACGTCATGTTTTAATATATGCAGCAAACTGAATAACCAAAAATTTTCACTACTATGACCATCATGTCCAAATTAGCATGCTATTTGCTCATCAGTCATATGATATAATTGCTCGAGACTATTCGATTCATCCATCCATACATCCATTATCTATACACTTGATCCTCACTAGGGTCGAGCACCCTAGGTGTCAGCACCGTTGCCTCGCAGCAAGAAGCTCGCCGGTGGTGATGGTGACATCTCATAATTACCTGGGTGTTCACCTAAACAATACACTGGACTGATCTGACACTACCAGCACACTTTACAAAAAAGGACAGAGCAGACTGTATCTGATGAGGAAACTTAAGTGTTGGATTGAGTGAGCCCTGCTGAGGTCCCGTTGTGGTGGCATCAGCCATCTTCTATGCAGTTGTATGCTGAGGGAGCAGCATTTCTACAGCAGACAGCCTGATAACATGGGACATCTCAAGAGGTCTGTGGAGTCTATCTATCTATCTATCTATCTATCTATCTATCTATCTATCTATCTATCTATCCAGATATCCAGATATCTATCTATGTTGAAGAACACATCCCACCCACAGCAGGACACCCGGACAGCACTGGGCAACTCCTCCAGTGACGGGCTGCTTCACCCACTTTGTGTGACAGAGAGATACCGCCGGTCCTTCCTTACTGCTGCTGTCAGACTCTACAACCAGCACTGCTTGCAGTAGACCACACAGAAAAACTGACATGGTTCACTCTAGCGCACATCAGTGTAGTCAAACCTGGGCATCGTCAACATTTGCTACAATGTTTTCTATATTTAGAGGACTCTGTGTAATATCAGTACTACGACACATAGAAGAATCTTGCACAATATCAATACTTCCCTGTGCAACATCAAGATTTCCCTACA